TGTGACGATACAAGGAGACCCGTTGGTGACATAGCAGCATGGTATATGGAAACTCACTTTTCAATTAGACAAGTACCCATCATGTTCCTGCATTCAGAATTCGGGATCGGAAGCATCCTTGGTTAGCACCAGTTTACAACATGGCGCAGCACAGATTTGTCTCTCTGTCTGCAATGCATTTTTCTTGTTTGCCGGGACTAAGACAACGCTAGTAACAGTTCCGGTCGGTGGAAAGCGGTTTACTTCACACAAGCTCGCCTAAGCGTCACTATGACTGATGTTAAAGAAAAATACCAGGTGATTCTTAAAATTAATTGCAATGTTACTTTTTGGTCCAACTGACTGCGTAAACTGTGGTTTTCGGTGCATTCTGAGGACACTTTGGACTAAAAAGCATGACAATCTATACGATAATGTAGGTTTCATATATGCCCTTCAAGCGTAGCATTCCGATGCTCTAGCTGTTCGTGTTTGCGAGCCGGAGCATTGGCGATCTACTCATGATGTAGAGAATTCACAACTTAAAATGCACCCAGCTTGTGTGAAGAATAGCGGAGTATGATGGAAAATGACCTCAGTTGCAAATGTATAAAATCCCATGGCTAACTCAACCATAAAGGAAGTTGGCCTGAGGGTATTACATGGATACCACCTTCTCCTACGCGCTCACATGATTGCTTATCAAGTCGATGTTGTACACGGTACAGCAGACAACTGAGGTTCCGCAAGGAAAGATACCTCATTGGGAGATTACCAGGTGGTCATTTTATGCGTTCAGAAGCCTAGGCATTCTCTTCTATTAACAGTGAAAGTAAACCATATGAAACTCTATATTTGTTCAGTAATACATGCGTTTACGTTAAATTCATCGTCTACTCCGTGTTACGTTTTCTTTAGCACAGTGCATTAACGACACTGAGGTGGATAAGTTAAAAGCGAGCGTTATGGGTCACAACGATTATTGCAGGATACAGAAATCGCGACATGAAACGACAAGTAATCTTCGGAAAATAATCTGCCGTTCACGATAGCTCGGGACCGTAGTCGGACAACTCCTCGCCTGTGCTCACCAGAAATTCAACTGTATATGGACGCTGGTGAGGTCACACAAAATCAATGCTAGCATTTTTAGGAATGACGATTATCCTAGGAATGTGACTTTCACCTCACCAGGGCAGGTGAAGGGAAGCCGGTTATCGGGCCAATAGCTAGCTTTGTTTTATCTTGGTAAGTTGAAGTTCGTAGTTTTGGTAGCAATGACTCGGTTATCCTAGGTGTCATATCGAGGGTTAGCATTGATTTCCAGTGACCCTGCTACAGCGTATATTCAGACAGTTATCCTCAACAGCATTGGAAAACATTTACTGATAAGGAAGTGAAGAGAATGAACCAGAGTAATCTGGTAAAACATGATTCTTCTCATGTCAATTTCTTGAATGATAAATAATGCATACAATTTCCATACCTGATGTTATCATAGAAATATTTGAATACCTACAACTGCTTCCGGGTCATATACGATTACTTTTAATTCCTATTCCCCTTTACAGGTTTATCCAACTTAAGAGTTACCGTAGCTAGTTGGTTTGTTTGGAATTCCTGCTGAGGATGTAGAATGAGACACCTTTCTAAGTGGAACTGTGTCAGTTGAGCTATTGAGCCACATTTGAAACCGATAACTTTCTGCTGCGTACGTTTGCGCCATTCATGCAGCGATGGCTGAAGTGGGAATTGAACCGGGAATGAAGAGGTTGCAGACAGGTGCACCGTTGAGCCGTAAGGCAACGTCCACCAAAGGGATTAACTACTCACGGCTACTTTGGGATGCAAGACCTGGAGAAATCATGTCGACTGTTAGATTCCTGAACAATTCCACTACTCGTATCTATTCAGCAAAAAAACACTTTTGTTTCCAGTTTTTCTGTTGCTAGTCTGTTAAATCATGTCGGCGTCATTTGCGATATCATTGGTCGACACATCAAATCGAGAAGCACAAGTAGTGTGATGAATATATGCGTTATTGTTAGCGGTTGTTGAATGCGAAGGGTCCAATACAACACGGTGACCATAACACAAATGCTAAGACGTTAGTGCACTTCAGCACACCTAATGTGGAATTACACTTAGAAAAAATAGAAAAATGAGAAACAATGCAACCTAGAATAAGTGCTGAAAGCAGATTGCTGCTTTAATACATGTAATTTTTTATCGTTCACCAAAATGCTCTTGCTCAAGCGCAGATGCGTCGTGATCGAATTACTCGTTTATGGAAGAGTGGAAACCAGCATCATGTATTAGATTCTCGGGTGCCGATAATCTTGCAGTCAGCCAGGCGACTTAGATTTACTGTTTGGAGAACGCGACAGATGTGCTACATTCCTGCCATTAGGATTCAATGGAACAATGGAAGAATGGTTTATTACGGGTAAAAAAGCATCGCTAAACAAGTCCCTTGGGAAGGAAATTATTGCGAAACTCAATTGCGTAATAACGCGAAAAGCGTTGTGGTGGACCCACCATAGACTTATGCCGAGTAGCGGAGAGGTTCGCGTATTAAACGTATAAATCCATAAGTCCATTGTTTAGGCGTTTGGCAAGACACTGTTTGATTGCGTTTTGTAGCCCCTGGCTAACAAGTCATAAAATGAAATGTAAGTGAGACAATGCATCTTCAACTCGTTTTTTAAATATCGCCAAATTGGGAGCAGAGAGGACATAAGTAGGGAGAGCATTCCAAGGCTGACACACGCGGAAAGAAAAGACATTTCGACGGCATTCAAGCCTGCTATACTGAATTGTCAGTTTCAGAGGGTGACCTCTTAGTTTAGTGTTGTGGTTCAGTTCCAGCATCGGACGGCAAATGTGGTTTGGGTTCTTCAGAATCTGGTAAACCATTATGAGATTCCCCCGCAAAAGCCGATATCGACTGCTGTACATTCTTAGAGATATCAGACTAAGCTGGTTGCCCTTCGTTGAGGAGTCTCGAGAGCAAGGAGATACTGTTTCTGCCACGGCTGCCACACCTGAATAGCATGTTCCACGTGAGGTCGCACGTAGGCGTTAAGCATTTGGGGAAAGATTGAGGGTTCAAACCGACCGAAGGCTCTGCGAAGAAGGCCGAAGTGTTGATTGCCGGTTCTCGTCGCCTTCTCTGCTTATTTTGAACACACAAGATCTTCCTGTACCAATACACCCAGGTCACGCTCCTGAGAAACCTTCGCCAAGGTGTGGCCTCCAATGTGTAAGCGCTCGCCGGCTGGTGACGCAGATGCATCACTTTGCACTTAACTATGTTCAGTTGAAGCTTGTTCTTCTTTGGCCGTTCGTAAATGCAATCTAAGTCATGTTGGAGCAGATCGTGATCTGGCTTGTTACTAATCGCCCGCCATATCTTGACATCATCGGCGAAAAGCAGGAAATTTGAAGAGATGACTCTTGCCAGGTCGTTGATAAACACCAGGAATAAACGCGGTCCCAGCACTGAGCCTTATGGGACACCACATTCCACATCAATTGGGTTAGAAAGTGATCCCCAAACACGTACTTGAAGCTTTCGTTGGTAAAGGAAGTTGTCAATCCAACCAAGTACAGGATCTCCGATTCCGTAACTCTGTAGTTTTTGAAGTATGATGCGGTGATCTAGGCGGTCGAAAGCTTTGGAGAAGTCCAGATAGATGACGTCAACTCCGACCCCATCATCAGCCACTTCCGTCCAACTACCTCGTGCAATAAGTAGATTGGTGGTGCATGACCGGTGTTGACGGAAGCCATGCTGTCCCGGTACCATAATGTTGCATTTTTCTAGGTAGTCCATTAAAGCCTCAGCGACGACTGCTTCCATGACCTTCGAGAGCGCAGGGAGGAGATTCACTGGACAATAGTGTGCAGAATCTGAACGGCTACCGCCATTAAAAATGGGGGTGATAATGCCACACTTCCACATGGTGGGGACTTGTTGTTCATCAAAGCACCTTTGAAAGAACTGTGACAGGGGTTCAGCTAGCTTGTTGGCCACAGCCTTCAGTGCCTTAGGGCGGGTGTTGTCTGCTCCCGGAGAACTATGTTCACGCAGTGAGCGTAACTTCCTTAGCACAATCGATGGGTTGAAAATAACAGTTGTAAACAAAGGTGTCGGTAATGTCATGATATGTCATGATATCAGGGGACAGGTAGAGGTCGCGAGTTCAAAAATTGGGGCGTATTGTAGCCGCAGGGCATTAGCTGCTTCTTCGGCATTTTGTACTCTACCGCCTGTCGTGAAAATTGGGGGGATTCCATGGTTCACTTTTTGAAGCTTATTGTCATGCCTATAAATCAGTTTGTTGTTTGCCATGAATTTTTTGGATAGGCACTGTTGATAAGTCACTTTGTCCTGACGGACAAGTGCAGTGCAATGGTTTTGATGGGTCAGGAAATTTCCCAAATTCTCTGAATCGGGGTTAATCTTGTAAGCACGCCATGTTGCATCCCTTAACGCCAGGCATTTTCGAGTCCTGCTCCTTAGAATTGAAGGCACTTTCGCAGGACGATGGGGTTTGGTCTCTGATGCTTTGTTGACGATGTCGCTGAGTCTATTAACGAACTCTGCCCAAACGTTGTCAAGGGGACTTTTGTTTGAGAATTCCCAAGCAGCTGCGTCGGCAGGTTTTTTCAGTACATGGTAGCGGTAAGTGCACAGTGATTTGCAGTACTTAACTTTGACTCTGGACTTCAGGGAACGCGTCAATACACGCACATCATGGGTTTTACTAGCTTCATTCAATTCCTCTCAATCGTGTTGGGCATTTGGTAATTTTGAGAACTTTATTTACAAGAGTATACCTCCAGATGGACGTTGGACTATCAATTGCTTGGGGTTCTGCTAAAGACAATAAAGCATGACATATTTCGAATGTTGCTAGGTCGATGTGGTAGAACGTGAAATCCACTTTAGTGTCCATTCTTAACTGCCACCTGTCCATTTTGTTCTAACGCCCATACATCTTTTGATACTACCTTAGATCTCTGAAGATGCAGTTACGGATACTATGGATCACCAGCCATTTCGCAGGAGCACTATTCAATCCACCTACGATATATTTGAACGCTATACGGAATTTGGAGGATTGATTGAAGGCCATAAAGAGTCATTAACGGCTCCTATGGAGGTAAGTTCTGCTATCCCTAGTAGACAAGTGGAAAAGGACAGCGGCAAGTGCGGATATAACGCTTTCCGAACACAACGTAGCATAGCCACTACTTGTGAATCATGCCAAACCTTTACATCTTCCCTTCGTTAACTTGCCATGTGAAGGTTTCATGATGGACCTAGAGCTGGACAGGTTTAATCATCTAAACAACCAAAATGGCTGGTCACCTAATCGCCTGCCTCACCAGAAATTGCAATGGAGTTATCCTCTAGAGGCAAGGTGTGGGTTACTCTTCACTCGAAGTCAGTGAGCATAAAACCCCCTGTTATTCGTTGTGCAGCCAGTTTTGACTGTGTCGCTGTTGAAGTCATTGGTTGTTTCTTTGGCCTGTTCGACACTGTTACGCGAGCCAACTTCCACTGATTGGGCGATGTTCCGCGTTTATTACTCCATTGGCTAATCATATTGCTCAGAGCTCCATATGTAGGTGCCCAGTATAGACGCCAACTTGGACCAGTCGTGTATCGGTGGTTCGAATGCACTCCAGCAAGAATACTCGCTTGTGACATTGGTAGACAAGCTGCGAAGGTTGCGTTATTCGGCATTTTTGCTTCGCATGCTCCACGTTGTCTAGTTATGAGTATCAACCTATAATAAGCGCACGCAGCGCCGGCTGTACAATTTTCGGAGAGAATTTGTCTTAGCTCTCACCTCGATGGGATCATGGTAGATGATATAAGGTTGCTACTGTTTGCTTTGGAAGGTATATGGAGTGACGTGTTCAGACCAGGGTTGTGTGTTCTTGTTTTCGTAGCTAAATTATAAAATGTAGACTACCCAGCGATGGTGTATGACTCCTTTGTTTTATCCTCAAATCATGTGTTACGATTATTTAGCTACGGTTTATTGTACACTGTTGGTGTTAAGAAATTGACTAATCTGCTGTTAGCTGTGACAGCTTGAAGATATTTACTTCATATGCATATGCAAAATGGTTAATTGTCCCACCTCCTATAGGATAGAGAATCCGATGCATCCATGGCAAGTCCGCCCAAGGAAAAGCACAAGATTCCCGGTCTCACTGCAAAATCGACACTGCACCTTTACAAGCAAATGGTTAGACCGACAGACCATATGAAAAAAGCGAAGTTTCCAGAGCGCCAGCTATTTATTTATGTGGTCGCCGACCCGACGGGTAAGTTGTGTTAATTCCCTGGTCTCCCAGGCCAAGCTGAGCAAAAACACACAACTTGAGCACAAAAAGACTGCCAGTTTATTTTGCGCTACTTGATGATATGTTATTGGCACAGCTTCCACGGTGCTGTCCACTGCTTTGGACTCATTAAACACACTACCGTCCTCAATCATCCATAGAAGAGCAATGGGGCGGATGTAATTCTCCGATAACTAGACATTCTGATAACGTGACATTCCGATAACCTGACGGCAAAGACTAGGTTTCCGTCCGAAGTGGATACAACGAACAAGTATTTCTTTGATAGCCATTTCAAGCGTCTCATCAGTCCACTTAATGAGGTGCTCAGGAAATACAGGTGGCAAGTTCGCAGATTTCACTGTACCATGGACTTGCAGTGGATAGGTCATATTGAAGCAATCGTTGTGTGAATAGATTGGGACTTGGGGGCATAGAAGAGCAGAGGTTTTGGCCAACGTTCAAACGTCCCGAATTCGAGCCGTAGTACCACTAGCTTACGGGTGTTGTGGTGCAGTGCAGCAAGGGTTCATAAACTAAAATCTATCATCAGGTTTGTTACTCGAATGGAGAGTCTACTGATTCACAGTCCTAACGAATTCAATTAAATCCGTTGTAGCTTTTGTTAACTTCAGGAGCTTGGAAGCTTATTTAGCCCACGAATCTTGTCTTTTGTTTTACATCCTCTTGGCTCGGCGAGAAAGTCTGATAATCACGATGAATAAGCGCTTCAACAGCCAGAAGTACATTGCTTTGCGATTTAATTAGGCACTAGGGTGCGCATGTATGCCAGACCATACTCTAGTGATCAGTGGACCTCTACTAGGCAGAATAAATGAGTGAGGCACGATCATTAAATATCGCAGATGCCTCGTCCTAATCACGTTACACACGCGCAATGTTAGAATTACTCCAGGATTGAGAAACAAGTGCCAGTAACAGACCATTGATTTGAGTCCAGCCCTTATTCAATGGCTAGTGAATCGCTGAACTGACGGAGCAGAAGACGATGGGATTGAGTTGAACAGCTCAAGCAGTCAGCCCAACCAGTTAGACCGTACACTGGTAGAACAATGGCAGCGAAATTCTTGCTAGCTAGAAAAGTTGAACTTTATACGTTTTGTCAAAGTATAATCTAGTAGGACATTCCCTAGTTATCTCCATCTTAGCCACCCGACCGTTCTGAGGCGAGGCCCACAGGACCTGTTCTTGGACCGCCTATTACTTGTCTGAACCGAATACAGAGCACCATATTGTTAACCAAGTAACAAATTACTTTCAGGGTCCTTTTGAAGTATTCGTGTTGTGCTTGGGCTGCGAAGCGCAATCTCACCGTGGACTGTGATGCGCATTGAAGAGAACCTTAGCAACTTCCATCACTAGGACGGTAGCTGTGGCGTATTGAAATAGGGTGATGTCAGCCCAATTGCTAGTTAGCCTAGGTTATGTCAAGTTCCAAGGACGAGATAGGCTCTTGCCTAACGAGCGTCTTGTTTCTTGTACCAGCAAACAGACCAGGGATTCCCGTGCTTCGACGTTCGTGTTGATTCCCCTGCTTCTACAAAAGAAATGAAACAAAAGCAAGAGCGACCTCCGTACTTTCTTGGCTCATAGACTACGAGATCTGACAACTGTCAATAAACACAAGTTCCGGCCAACATCTACCCAAGCCTTTTTTGAACGCTTCTACAGTACTACTTCCAAGCAAGGCAAAAGAAAGCTTGTTCCAACTATGAAATACACGATTCGCGAAGAGTTTGGCCCTAATTTCTAACCTGGACCACTGGTGCTTAGGCTTAAGCTCCCACCTTGGCATATATATATATATATATATATATATATATATATATATATATGGGTGGCCAGCTGTTTTATCAGCTTTTTCATCCTGCTTCATCAAGTTGTAGACTGCCCACCACACCGTCTCCTCCAGCCCTGTCCAGCGACCGCGAACAAGCCACAACGCGGAAGACGCTGAACGGGCATACCCTGTGCGCGTCCAAGTCATCGTAGTTAGGGCAGCGTGACAAACACGTCGACGGAGCGGTTGCCTTCACCCAAGGCACCTGTCGGACTTCAACGTTGGTTGCGTGGTGCAGCCAGCACACACTGGCGGTGGACTGCAAGCAACCGATCTCGAAGACAGACTGGCGGCGCAGATCATCGATAAGAGAGCGCCAACTCTCACAACCCTACAACAGTACAGCACGGACGGTTCCACTATAAACTCGCCCTTTGATGGTGGGACCGAAGCCATGGCGGCGCCATAAATGACTCACCCTGGAGAATGCAGAACGATCTCTTGAGATACGCATCGAAATCTCGTTTATAATAGCACACCAGCAGCGATGCAGCTTCCCAAGTAGACAAAGCTCTGTAAAACATCTGGCGTCTCACCATCGATGGTGAGTGTAAATAAGGGCGTACGCCAGCCTTGCAAAAGCGATTTGCGCTTAGATGGTGAAAAGTGCACGCAATACTTCGACGCTTCAATCGCCAGGCGTTTAAGTGCAAGTTGGAGGGCCTGCGGACCTTTACTCAACAAGACGATTTCATCAGCGTAAACCAAATCAAACGCCCGACTACCTGGGAGGAGCTCAAAGCCAGAGCTAAACTGGTCTTTTAGAGCATTTTGAGAACATCCTCAGTGAAAAAGTTGAGAAGGAACGGATTGATAGAGCAGGTGCTCGGAGGCATCTGGGTTAAACAGGTCGAAAGACCTATTATCAATGAGACTCTTCATAATGTTAAACACTTCTAGCAGGTCACCTTTCCAACCGTGCCTTTCCATGGTAAGTAACCCTAGGTTCCTAAGCCGTTCATCATATGACTTTCCACACGGGCCCTCAATCATACTTGTTGTCAAAGTTTGAACATTTTATATGCAAACAACATCCTTCCGGAGATACGGTTCTTAAGCTTGCACACAATATTCTAAGTGAGGCCATACAACAGCTTCATATAAGGGAACGAAAACCACAGTTTTAGTATTGCATAACGTTTTGCTTAGACGGAATAGCTCCTGTCGCGCCTTGCTGGCTGCGTGCTGATCCTGTGCTGATGGTTCAAGTTATTCGTCATAATGACACCCAGATCACGTGCTTCTTCAACGTAATCCAACGCCAAGGTACCTCCAGTAGTTCGTACCGTAATCGCTTCGATGCTGGATAATAATAGTTGACACTTTTTGGCGTTAAGAAACAAGTCCCCCATGGACTTGCTGCAGTGCATAGGTCTTTCGATAGTGCGTAACGATTATCTCGGTTTACGACCTTTCCATCGCTCGTAAAGTTACAACAAGTTTTCAAGATGAGGAGCCAAGTCACTTATATACATAAGGCACAATAGCGGGCCTAGAAGAAAACCCTTGATACACCACTGTGATCGATATCTGTGCCTAAGCTGGAATCATCAAAGCTAACACAGAAGGTTCCCCTCAAAGAAATTTTGTTATCCAAGTAAATAAATGGGAGTGTAGCCCAAACTATATCGGCTTTTCTAATAAGAAATGATGGTTAACCGGAGTCAACAGACTTGGCGAGGTCTAGTTAGCAAATTTCTACTGGAATCCGAATGTCGAAACAAGTGGTAATCTCATCCAAAAAGCACAGCTGAGGCATGACTTTCCGCCCCTACCAAGTTGTGAGCAACTAAGTACCCACAGATAAGATTCCTGATAAGCTTCCACAGACGTTTAAGCAGAACACTGGTGAGACTGAAAGGCCTGTAGTTGACAGGGGCTGATTTATATCCCCTTTATGTATTGCTATAAATGATACTTCCTTCCAGTCTTGTGGCAGCCTACCTTCGCGAAGTGACATGTTGAACATGTCTAAGACAGGGAACTGGAGTATTTCAGCCAGCGGCTTGACAATAGCAGGAAGCTCATTATCAGGTCCAGCTGAGTTGTAAAGGCCTAAACTTGCCATGACATCAAGGACGTCTGATGGAGTCAGTGGATCATTCGGCACCAGTCTCCCAACTTGGCCATGAGGTTGCGTGGAGGAAGAAACCCTTTATCAACACCATACACGTCCTGAAAGATGAGTAGCAACACCTGTGCCTCCTCCGCATTCTCTGTAGATTTCTTTACCGTCATCCAATATTAAGTTGCTGACCCCGCCTCTCCAGGAAACCTTCGATCAAACATAACTGTAATACATCTTCGGTCTCGCTTTTGCATTCCCAGCTAACTTAAGCTCATGGAAGTATTCGGTATATCGTTGCAATATGTCTGCCAAGTTCCGACATTTCTTATAATGTAGCCAAACCTTAAGCATTCCGGACGCCTGAAACTTTCTCCAGCAATCATTGTGCCTCTTTATCGCTTGATCAATTCCCAGATGCCACCAGCGGTGCCTATTGACTTGTCTCCTACTGCGCAACGGATCAAACTAGTTCGAAGCTGAGCAAGCGCATATTTGATTGTGCACCATTGCTGTTCTAATATGGCGTGCGCCTGTGCGGGGATCCGGTTGATTTGCAGCGCCTTGTCCTGTAACCGATTAAAGTTGATGCTGCCGAAGTTCCTCACTAGCCGTGAATTTGCCGAAAACATCTCCGTATTCAGTCAGAAGCCCAGAATGCAGTGGTCAGTCTTCTCTATGAGAGCTTCTGCATGTATCGCTGACAAGCGACAAAATAAGCTTACTAAGACATATAAGGTCGAAAGTGAGCAGCCAAAGCGCCTTTGCATAAGAAAGCTAACATGTTGAACACAAGCATTAAAGTGTACCCATTCCACTGGTTCCCCCTTGTCACGTATACACTTTAGTTTCGATTTGTAAATACAGGCCCTCATATAATTGGTTGAGAATGATATTGCCTTGCCTCCCTAGCTCATTGGTTTTTGGTTTCCCCATGTCTAGCCACTGTATCGAAGGCACATTTTATTAAATGGTTTCATACCACACTTGTGCGTTCTATTCCACTGATCGGCCAAGCGCCATACTTAACATTCCGACGACGAGGTTACACTACTG